AGGTCGAAACTGGAAAAACAGAGAAACGAATCTGCCCAAAAACGACCGGTCGTTACTGTTCAGCGACCGGTCGCACATGAATCTACCCAAAAACGACCGGTTGTCACTGTTCACGACCGGTCGTCACTGTTCACAGGTGATAAATGGGTGATAAAAGGGTGATAAAAAGTGCTGTTTCTGTTTTTCTTTGGTTTCTTTTGTTGTTTCATTTCTTTTACATTTCTTTACTTATTTTTAGTTTCCAATTTGCATTTGTGCATTTGTGGTGTGTTACATTAGTGTTCTTTACGTACTCAAACTAAAACTTATAGGAAGCCGACAAGTTCTTCGTGGGATCGACCCCGTACTTACACAATCTATACCTCATTAAATTCGTGCACTTGCGGGTATTTTTAATTGGTTGTTTGCACATTAATTTGTGTCCTCTTAGGAATGCAACAGCTACCTCTCTCAAAGTTCCAAATTCCAAATGCATGACCTTTTGACACAAATACTATAATTAATTGACCGCCTGGCCTGCTCGAGATGATCATAAAGCTTCAGGAAAAAGAAAACTGCTATAATTTCATTTTACGCGATCCCTAAGTTCAGAATTAACATAATAATTGAGTCACAAATTCAATATTTGAAAAATTATGTGTACATTCATTGAATTCAGCAAAATGATTGAGAAATTGGATACAAAAAAATAAAATAAAAGACACGTATAATTTGTCTCCACGTACACATTACATCAGTTGATGATCGATTGTTGACATCTGTCATTTGATATTAAATTTCCCGGGTAGTCAAGAAAAACTCTCTTGTTAACTATAATGCTTTTCAAAGGGAGATTTTCCAAAAAGCAATTCTTGGAAAGTGGCTTAGTTGGATTCGATGGAGATAGATAGATATGCATGGCTAATATCCATGTGTGTGCGTGGCTGCATGGCCATCTCAAAATTTGAGGTTCATACTTGTAGGTTATTTCTCTCACACTTATTGTCACCATCCCATTGGCTAAGTGGGCAATCACAATCAGCTTGTTTCTCATTCTTTAAGGACTGACGCAAACCCCTCCATTTTGTGTTGTTTGGCCAACAAAAGATGTTTCATATGAATTCTATTTTCCATTTTTATTTATTTATGGTAATTTCAACATTTCCTAATTATTATTTAGTAACTGACTAGCAAATCCAATTTATATATTTCTTGGAAGATAGAAATTTTCCCTTTTATGTTTTCTGGAATTATATTCAAAATTATCATACATATTGCTCAATGCTCATAGATAAATAGGGAAATGGGGAAATGGGATCGCATTCGATGAAATGCAGTCGCCCTTGCCAAGACTGAAAGGGACACAATAAAAAAAATATACAAATATGATTGTTTTCCTTTTTAAAAAATAAATAAAATGAGATAAATAATCCTCTAGTGTAGTGGTTTGGAGTAGGGGTGTACGTCGGTTTGAAACCAATACAATTTAATCAATCCGAATCCAATCCAATATAAATTGGATTGTAATTTTTTCAATCTGATCCGATCCAATTGATATTGGATTGGATTGGATTAGATTATCAATTTTGATAATAGAAAAAAACAATAATAGAATATTAAACATTTATCATTGTATTTAATATAATCAAACATATTAATAGACATAAATGTAAAATATAAATAAAATATTAGAGAAAATTGTTTTGATTATATAATATATTAACCATAACTCCATTAAAAAACTTAAAATATTCATAACCTTTTCAACGACAACAACAACAAAATAAGCATAAAACTAACCAGATTGGAGTGGATTGGGTTCTCATAAGC